CCTCCCTCCTCCCTCCTCCCTCCTCCCTCCTCCCTCCTTCATCCCTCCCTCCTCCTTCGTCCCTCCTCCCTCCCTCCTCCCTCCCGTAGCCGGTTTGGCTCAAGGCTTTGAGGTTCATTGAGGTTCACAAGGAACCAAGTGGATACCGCTAGTCCGCGGCAGTGCCAGGGCATTGTGCTCCACATTTTTCGCGCGGCCTTCGCTGTGGGAGTCGGGCCCCCACCCTTGAGCCAGTCTGTGAGCATGCGATGCCGTGGACCTGGTCGTCTGACAACCGCCCGCCCTGGCGCCGCACCGACCCCACGCCTCGTCGTGATGCTGAGCGCCGTGGTCGTAAGCGTCGGCATGGTGGCGCTGGGGCTGGCAACGCTCAGTATGCAGTGTGTAGTCAATGCGGGCATTGGGGGTACCTCTCACGTGGGCATGCCGCTTGCAACAAGTGCTCCGCCCCCTACCTCGACTACAGCAAGTACTATGTGGCTAACAGCGAGGCGACTGCAGCGGTCTGCTCGCACGAACTGGACCTACCAGGGCAAGCCAGTGCAGCAGTGGCACAGTTCCCTGGTCTTCGAGCACTACTCGCGACGCACTTGCCGCCTCCACCGCCGCCTGTCGTCCCGACCGATGCACAGCTGGATGCGGCTGTGGCGGGCGAGCGCCTGGCCCTGGCGAAGCAGGTGGAGGAGGCGGCCAAGGCAGAGCGCCTGGCGTGGCAAGGGAGATCCGAGCGCCAGGATGCCCTGCTACGCGCCCGCGAGAAGGTCAAGCAGCTGGAGGCCGTCTTCGCGGAGGCGTCGGACCAGCTCACTTCTGCGCAGGCCAAGCACCTGGCTGCCGAGTCTAAGCCAGATTCGTTCAACGAGGACACGCTCAAGAAGGAGAAGATGGAGGCTGCCGCTGCGGCGCAAGCGCGGGCTGCCGCGCAGCCGCCAGCAGGGACGCCCCCTGCGCGCGCTTGTGGGGCCTGGCGCTGGCGCGGGCGCTGGTGCCGGTGGCGGCTCGCCCGCCGCGGGAGTGGGCGCTGCCCCAGCTGCGTCGCCGCCACGGGTTGTGGATCGCGCTGTGCTCGGGCGTCTCCATGAGCTTTCTGATGAGGAGATTCGTAAGTTGGCGGACGCTACTCGTGCACCGTAAAATGAATGGTGCAACCAACGTACGGCTCAAAGAGCTGCTCACAACGTTCTACGTGCTTCCATTCCTCCGTCGGGACCCCCTGATGCTGAAGCTGTTGGGGGTGCATCTGTCCCTGGCGCTAAAATGCCTGAAGGTGATGCAGCTAACGCCCCTGCCCCCTGTCCTGATGACGATGCTGAGCTGGAGGAGTCCGAGCGCGAGGAACTCAGTGAGCTTCGCAAGCGTTCCGCCGAGAGCGCACAGCCTGCCGACCTGGAGAGGTTGGAAGCGCTCCTGGTTCAGAAGTTTCACACGCAGGCGTATAATAAGCTCAAAGTAGCTTCTTATACTTCTGACATGTGAGCCACTGCTTTTGCCCAGCTGGCAGCCCCCCAAGCGGCGCCGGGTGCGCAGTTGGTTTGACGAGGCTCTGGGGCAAGGGCAGGGGTTACATATCAAGTTCTGCAACGTGTCCAGCTGGTCTGAGTTAGCCAAGTCTGAGCTTGCCAATGCGGTTGAGAACGTTGACGCGCACCTCTTTGCTGAGCACCATCAGAGCCCTGCCAAGCTGATGGCCACGAAGAAGGGTTGCTCTTGTATGGGATGGCGCCCGCACTTCCAAGCAGCCCTTCCCTGTCCAGGTGGAAGCTGGCATGGAGGAGTTGGAGCTGCCGTACATAAGGGGATATGCTGTAAGCGTTTCCTCCGTGCCATACCTGATGGGGTTGAGAATGTTGGCCAAGCACAAAGTTGGTTCTTCTTGGAGATGAGGGCCCAGCAGTGCACCGTGGCGCTTGAGGTGATTTATTTGGTCTCGGGAGTTGGCGCTTCTGGGGTTTCCTGAAACGTCTGAACGAAGTGGTGGACTTTCTTGGGATGTTGGAATGCCCCTGGATCCTCCTTGGCGATTTCAATATGACGCCCCTGGAGCTCCATCGCTGTGGCTTCTGCGAGGTTGTTTCAGGCGCTGCGGTCGATCCCGGCAACAGCGACTTTACTTGTGACAAGGGCGATGGACGCCTGATAGACTACGCCGCGGCGTCTCGCAGCCTGAGGCAATATGCGCATATGGAGGTGGATTGGTCCGCCGCCTTCAAGACGCACGCATGCTTGCACGTGCAACTCCCTCTCGACGTGCTCTGCCACACGGCTATGAAACGCAAACGTCCGAAACCCACTGGCGGCCGCCATGGGCCAGACGAGCGGTGGCATGATAGATCTCCTGGATCGAGATGGCGAGCAGGTCGTGAGTGTACCACCTGAAGTTCGAGGGGCTTCCCTCGAGTTCCACTGGCCACGGAGCCCAGAAGGACTGTCGGGGGAATACCAACGATGGTCGACTGCTGCCGAACACTTGTTCTGCCCCCATGCCCTCCAGCCTTGGCAGGAGCTAGGCGGGCATAAGGGTCGAGCGGTTGTGCTGCAACAGAAGACCTTCGTTACACGAGGAGTAATGAAACAAAATTTCTCCCGCCCCTGCCTCGCTTTTTGGACATTGATCTCGCCCCGCCTTCACGACTTTGTTGTTGCTGTGAAGCGTGGAGGCTCTGCGCAAGTCACCGCGCTCAGGACTCTTCTGCGCGCCCGTAGTGACGAGGCGGATCGACACCTAGAGGCTCTTGCTGATGCGCAGCAAGCAACTATACGGCGCGGCCAGTTGCCTGAGCTCCCCCATGATCCTCGACAGTTGGACATCATGCAAGGTGCCTCGATCCCCATCCTTCGTCGCGCGCGGGCCGCAGTTCGGAAAGCTAATCGCGAAGGGCCCCAAGCCTGGTTGAGCCGCGGCCCCGTTGGAGGTGCGAGAGTGACCCATCGGCGGTCGAACGCTGACGCCAGCAATGTGGTCGATTTGTTTGTGGGCCCTTCGGAGGTGGCCCAGACCCCCCAAGACATGATGACTCACCGTGAACGGTTTGGGCTGAATGGTGGACCCCCTTCCCTCCGTCAGGTTGAGGATCTGGAGCGCGGCATGCGACGCCTTAGGCCAGTGGCAGAATTGGCCGCCCTGGAGGCGCGCACCATCGAGGCTCAGAATGCCATCAGAGCGTGTAAGTGCTTCCCCAGTGACACTGCGCTTGGAGTGGATGGGCGGTCTCCATTAAATATGCTCCAGCTTCCCTCTGAGGCCCTCGATCAGCTCGCTGCCCTGTGTAGCCGCAGCGAGTATGCCCTCGAGTTCCCGCAGCAAGTGTACTTGTGCAATGTTGCCCTGCTCCCTAAGACTGTCTCTACTGAGGTGCCCATCACCAAGTGCCCCACCCTCTACCGTCTGTGTACCCGCCTCAGAAGTTGCTAGATCCAGGACTGGACCGATTCCTACGTGGCCTTCTGGGACGCTGCGGTGAAAAATCGTCGGCCCTGCGGGCTGCCATGTTGAGGGAAGCCCTGCATAAATGTGCGCGTGAAGACGGTGTGCGTGTGTTTCTGCCCACTGGGACATGGAAAAAGTGTTTGATGCGGTTGACCCCAGAAAAACAATAGGGTTGGCTATTGATGCGAAGTATTCCGCCCTGCTTCTGCATCTCGGCCTTCTCATTCATACCGACCCTCGCCTGTTGGAGGTGCAGTCTGTCGTGTCGAATGCGATGCATGCAGGACAGTCCATCCTTGCGGGCTGCTCACAGCCTCTGCCTTGGATTAAATGCGATGTGTACGATATGCTGGAAGCTGCGCACTGCCGAGCCCCACGCGTGCCCATCTCGGCGCATGTCGACAATGGCACGCAATGCATCCAGGGTACCGTAGAGGAAGTGACTCAGAAACTTGTGCCTGCTGCCCGCGAGCTGCGTGACACGGTGCATAAGAGAGGATGTAAGATCTCGTCTACGTCATGTGCGGTTGCCTCGCATTTGAAAGTCGGTCGCCCTATCCAAGCGATGTGCGGTAAGCTCGGTGTCCCTCTCAAATATGTTGACACTGTGAAAAGATCTTGAAACCGGAGACACGGCTGGACGCAGACGGACAATGTGGAAGATGGTGCAACGCCGAGGGGGGCGCAACGACGTGGCAAGAAACTTGGGTTCCTTGCGCATGTCAATCCTCGCGCGCGTAAACTTTTCAAGCCAGGAGCCGTTGCAGTTGGCACGTGGAGCCACCAAGTCCTGGGCACGCCCCCCTCGCACCTGCGCCGACTCCGTGCGCAGGCTGCTAAGGCCTCAGGACGGTGGCATGCTGGAGCGTGCACCACCACCCTTGTGGCGCTTGACAGAGCTATGGTTGATGATCCTGTCTACAAGCTTCGCTATGAACATTTGCTCGAATGGAGTCGTTCTTGGGGTGTCCTTGATCCTAGCCAGCGCCAGGCGGTGCGCAGAGTCTGGCCTTGCATCCTTGCCAGGCTGCGCAGCGTTCCTAAGGCACACCGCTGGCGTCATGTTCGATGGCCCCTGGCGGCAGTCATCTTATGTGTTCTCGAGCTCAACGGCAATCCTGCTGAGCCCCATGTTTGGATTTTTCCCCGACTGCCACCCTTAAGGTGGAAAGGCGTGATTTCTCTTTCCACCCGTGGACGGT